TAGCTCAGTGGTTCCACTGCCTGCCTCACAAGCACAAGGTCCCGAGTTCGATCCCCGGTACCAAAAGAGAAAAAAGAAAAATTGCTTGATAATTAATGATAATCTGAAACTTATCTCCATCCTATTGATTCAAATCATCTGAAAGGCAGTGTCCCATGTTTCTCATGTTTATTACACCTTGTACCACCTAAGTATCATTTCTGAATGAAAATTATTCAGAATAAAGAACAAGTACAAAATGTATCTCATTTACTCCACCACCTGCTGGGGGGACATAACTTTGCTTTAAAAAGAAAAGCTTAAATGTGTATCAAAAATTTGTTTTCTTTTGTGATGCTGAATAATCAAACTTAGCGCCTCACACAAGCTAGGCAAGTGCTTCACCACTGAGCTACACCACTCACCCTGAAATTCTTAAAGAAAATAATAAAGCATCTGCTCTTACAATGAAGTTAAGTGAAAATACACACACTTCCAGCAGATTTGTTTTACAAGATAAAAATAGATTTTAAACGACATGCATCATTTAAAAAATGCATCATATAGACCTCATTTATGTGAAGTTTTTTTTTTTTTTGATGCTTTGGATTTGAAAATAAATCTAAGTCGTAGCATCAATCACTGCAATGAACAAAGATTAAGCACTTTTCTATAAGGGTTCCTCCTTTGGCAAAGAGCTTTAAAAAAATATAAGATGCCATGTTATTTTAGGGTCTTTTAAGAAAAGATATTACAACTGTAAAACACACATGTAATTAAAAAATGTATTAGCTGCATACAAGAAAAAATTTAGAAACTAATAGCTTTAAGAGGTGACTTACAGTGAAACACAATAGCTGAATTAGGGAAAGTTACTGCTATTTTTGAGCAAAAATTCTTATTTTGGACTAGTCTGCAAGTCTCTTCTTCCAGCTACAATTCCAGGATTCAGGACACTCCCTTGCCTACCAGCAATCCAGATGATGTGGGACTTTTTCCAAACAGGAATGCAGATTAACCCTTCCTCTCCAGTGCAAAACCAGAAGCCATGTAAAACACGTATTTTTAATAAACAGGCATTTGGAAGTTAAGGTGGCTTTTGTTAGTGGAAATTGTTAACCCTCAGAATAAACAGGATGGAGTGCTCCTTAACAAGTTGTATGTCCCAAGCCCAAGCAGTAATGGGTCTCAGGAAATTCAAGGTGATTTTTCTCCTTGCCCAGGGATCTTAACAATACTGCTATTCCTGGTGCTTCTGAAAAGTGTAAACCTCAAGTCAGTGCTACTCAGACTGAGAGGGGGTACACAAGCTCAAACCTAGCGTTGTACTTTTTTGTGACAGGAATACCTTGCTGGGCATGGCCCAAGATGGAGATTTTAGCATCTTGTTAACCTGTTTTATGAAAAAAAATTTTTCTACACCTTTTGCATTTTGTAACTGTTGATGACTTTCTCTTCCACACTCTTAGAATTTAACAGGCTTATTTGATCATAGTCTGTAGGCAACAAATTCCAGCTACTGGTAAATGGTGAGTGTTGTCGTTAAGCAGAAAGCAGCTTTGGGAACCTAAGGTTGAAAAAAAAAAACGGATCAGCCAGCCAGTTGGATTTTGGAATTCTGTCCTCTATGCCCCTCCTCCCTTTAAAATTTGAAGACAAAGGGTGTGTATTGAAATGGAGTAAGCTTAGAAAATTCCTCGAAAGCACAGGGAGAGTTGACACACATTCAGCTGACGCCATCATGTTGGGGTGAGAGCGGCCAAATCTGGCCAAGAGGAACTTAGCATTCATCAAGGAGGTGACATCTCACAGGCAGGGCCGGGAGATTTCCTTGTCTCAAAGCTAAGGCGGTCGGGAGTAGTCGCTAGTCGCCACATGCTTCAGGGACTGCCAATCTCACACACTGGGCACAATAATGACAAAAGTCAAGATTTAGGGTTCAGTTCCAGCTGATTTTATTTCCTTCTCAAAAAAAGTTATTTACAGAAGGTATATATCAACAATCTGACAGGCAGTGAACTTGACATGATTAGCTGGCATGATTTTTTTTTTTTCTCTTTTCCCCCAAACATTGTTTGTGTGGCCTGGAATTTTAAGACGAATATTCTACACGGCATATTGCACAGGATGGATGGCAAAAAAAAAAGTTTAAAAACAAAAACCCTTAACGGAACTGCCTTTAAAAAGGCAGACGTCTAGTGCCTGTCATGTTATATTAAACATACATACACACAATCTTTTTGCTTATTATAATACAGACTTAAATGTACAAAGATGTTTTCCACTTTTTTCAATCTTTAAACACAACAGCTATAAACCTGAACACATATGCTATCATCATGCCATAAGACTAAAACAATTATATTTAGCGACAAGTAGAAAGGATTAAATAGTCAAATACAAGAATGAAAAACGCAGTACATAGTGTCGCGAACTCAAATCGGCATTTAGATAGATCCAGTGGTTTAAACGGCACGTTTTTGCTTATAAAAAAAGTGCAAAAAAGATGCGGTTTACAAGTTAAAGCTACAGGATCCCTTTTTTGTTTTTGCTGTAAATGCACCAGTTTGAAAGCCTCTGGAATAAAACAGTAATTCTTTTAAAAATGTGTTTTTCTTGAAAGCATACAGTGCTTGGCTAATTCGCCTCCCCATTTTACCCGATGGGGGTTAAAGGTGGACACTGGTGGCAGGTGAAGGGATACTGTCACTTTAAGAAGCCTGCAGACTGAACTGTAAACATGGAGAAATTAGGGGCTGATTTTTCCAACTGTGTGAGATATTAACCAGCCTCCCTATTATAAAATCAGGAAATCCAAACAGCGATTTACACCGATTAACACCCCCTTTATATATTTTTTACAAAAATACACTGAGAAAATAATCAAACGTTTTCATCTCTCTTGTCTTTTTTTGTTTTTTAAAAGTGTCAAAAGTCTACATTTAAATATAAAAAATTAAAAGTTAAAACTCTAGCCCTTCAGTGAAGGAGACGTAAAATGGCGTGGGTCAGAACAACTACCAAAAAAAAAAAAAAAAAAAAAGGAAAAATAAAAAGAAAAAAGGAAGAAAGGAAGAAATAAAGGGAGTCAAAAGAAAGAAAAGCCAAAGAAAAAAGAAAAAAAGGGATAAGATAAGAAAACAAATGTTTGGCCAGTATAAATACGTCCACATATAAAATGGCATCTGATTACATTTACAGGAAAAAAAAATATACGAGGATGAAGCATCGGTGGAGGAAAAAAACACGTCTTCTCATTTACACCTAGAAGGAAGAAACACATACACACGGAGGAAAAATTTGGTCCTGAATTGTTTTTTCAAAGTCCAGCACAGATTTGAGTTGCGTTTGAATCCTTTAAAGAGTTAAGAATGAAAAGAAGCTGGTGATAATTTTGTTGTAGGAATCAAACATAGCGCCATCTATCTGCTTTTTATATTATCCTACACTATTTTCAAAACTGCTCAACAGTCTTATACAGAAATCTTTAAAAGATAGACAGGATAACATGCTATATTAACCCCACCAGTGAAATAATCCAACACCATCACGATTCCAATTAAGAGAAGAAAAAACCTTTTTCCCCCCCGAAACCACTCGCCCTCCAGGGCCCCTAGACCACATCAAAAGTCTCCTCTCCCCCGCGTCTCCGGGTCTGGGGAGTCTCACCTCGCTGATCTCACGGCCCGACGGCCAAGGCCCGCGAGCTTGCAAACCCTCGGCAGTTTGATCAGTGCGCCTTCCAGGCGCGCGTCCTCCTCCACCCCGCCCCTCGCCCGGCCGCTGCCGCTTCCAACGAGGTCCTCAGGTCACTTCCTAGCGCCGGTCACTTTGGCTGGCCTCCTCCCCTCCACATCTCTTCCTATGGCTGCAGGGGCAAGGAAACAAGGAGAAAAGGGGGAAGGGGCGGGGGTGGGGGACGACAAAACCAAACCAAACGAAACCAAACTCAAAACTGGAATTCGCCAGCGTGGAGTCTCTCGGTCCCAGCGCTCCCCCAAAACATCTGCCGTCGTCCACACTCATCACCCGGGGCCTTCCGTCTTCAGTAGGCATGAAGGGGAGGGGGGCTGCTGGTCACCCCCCAAACAAGAAGCAAAATAAACTACAAAGCCCAGCAAGGTGGCAGCGCATGAGGGCAGATTCCTTCAGTCTCCGGCATAGACCTGGCTTCTCGCTGGCTCGTTGGGGGGGGGGGACCGGTGCACCCCAGTCCGGAAGCTCGTGGGGGGGGGTCCTCTTCAAGCGAAGGGGAGGAAACTCGAATAGCTTTTTTCCGCCATCAACAACAACATCAATCACAACAATAAAAGGTCGCCCCTGTCTATCCTCCGCGTCCCCCGGGCTGGCCGGTGCGTCCAGACGCCCCCGCGATCCTCTGCGACCGGACGCGGCCCAAGCCAGCCCTACTCACTCTTTTTTTTTTTT